ATTCTTTTAAATGAAAACCTTCTAACTCCCAGGGCAGAGTTAAAATGGTTTGGATTATTTTTTCTGGTATGCGTTTTTTAGCGAGTCCGTTTTCTTCGAGATGGGGAAGCTAACCCCATGCCCAACCCTCCTCCTTTACCCGGGCTTGGGACCGGCAGTAACTCTATAAGAGCTACAGGCGGAGTTAATTAGCTACTATAGCTAATTATAAATATAGATGACCATTTATTGGTATCGATCGAGCTAATGAGCTAGGAGTACTAATCAGTACTACAATTCGGTAATACACTTGGGCATCAATCAACAGACTAATAGAAAATGGGCCCCAAGTGCCGTTGTACGGTCGACGGTAGAAAGAGTCGACTCTCTCGAAGCGTTCTCACATGGCCTCGAGTATACAGTTATTGTCAGTCCTACTCGCTATCTCACGGCGGTGTGTTGTTTACGAAATTGAGATGACGAAAAGAGAATGTCCGGCGCTTTAACATGGTTAGTAGATATGGAGAATCCACCTAGTGGAGTTGGATAACCCTGATTCCAAACAAATGGTGCACATGAGCTCCAGAAAATAAATGGCGTATGATCCATGGGACTGCATCTCCTTGTAGTGGCTTTGCTTCGTTAATCGATCAACTCGATAACCATTGTAATATAAACTATCAACGGTGTTTGAAATCAGAAAGCAATGAGAAACAGCAACTACACTTTATTAGAGGATAACACAGATCACAAAGCTATTAGCACATAGAGCATATTTGAAGCGGAGAAGAGAATAAGTATATGCGAGCAATTACATAGGGAAATTTATAGTCAAATTTCATAGGGGTGCAGCAAAGCAAGGGCTAATAATAGGATTTGAATACATACATGCATGGGGAGGAGGATGAATCATCGATTAATATTAAAGCAATCAACATTTTGGCTATAGTCTTTCATGTGACCCAGTAATCACAACGGTACAAATAATATTGTTTGTTAAATAAGTTAGTAAAAGAGCTTAGCCAAAATTAACCATGATCGAAATCGGTTGTAGGTTAGTTGCTATATCCTAAAGTTGCCCTGCTACCTTGTGTGTTGAACGTTTAGGTAAAGGGCCCCAAATGTGGCCCTCTAAGAAAACCACCTGCCTTGATTTTGGTGCCCGGACAATATCGTAGCACACACGAATCAGCGATGAATAATCCCGGAAATATTACTCTTGCTTTAACACTCATTCAGAAAAATTTTATTCACAACCATTTGATGACATTCGTAATTATTTCTTTCATACCACGTCACTGATGTACTCCCTTTTATTCTCATTTTGATTACTTTAATTTTCAACTTATACAACAGTTCGCGTATGGTGGAAGCCCTGTCCTATCTAAATGAGCATTGGCTGTGATCGCATGACGTCATGAAAATGGCAAGTAAAGTTGCTTCAAGCTTCGCGTGACGTTCCAATCATAAGCAACGGGTTTCTTCATGCTCCTTACATCTCACAGAAACCTACCGGTCTACTCAGGATGGTCGCGAGTTTGACGTTCTAGAAACAGCTCCGGTGGATATAAGTAATGGTGGTGTGGATCTGTTGCCTGGAGAAAGACTTCGACCTTGGGTATGCGGATGACATTATCTTACTATGCGGTGATAGCCAAATCATGCAATCCACACTTAATCAGTTGACAGTCAGTGTTCGTAACTATGGCATGTTCTTTGCACATCCTGATTCCGAAGTACTTTCACAAAACTGACAGGATCCTGTGCCTAGACTCACTTTTGGTGGTGAGTAGTTTTTAATTTAGTTGAGATGTTCGTGTATCTGGGTAGCGGTGTAAGTGTTGGCGGTTGCGTGAGTGATGAGATCAATCCACGTATGGTGTAAGCCAGAGCGATTTATGCCAATCTGGGCCATCTTTGACGCCTTCGTGATGTTAGTCTGGCTGTAAAAGGTCGGATCTACAACGCGTCGGTGAGAGCAGTCTTGCTCTATGCTTGTGAAACCTGGCCTCTCCGAGTTGAGGACGTTAGACGACTCTTTGTGTTCGATCATCGTTGTCTCCGAAGGATCGCTGGCATCCAGTGGCAACACCATGTCAGTAATGCAGAGGTTCGGCATCGTGTGTTTGGATGCAGAGACGATAGTTTAATTGATGCCATCATCTTGAAACATCGACTTCGATGACTTGGACACATCTTACGAATGTTGTCGTTGAGAATTTCACGTCGTGCAACAATTGCCAATATTGGGACCGGTTGGAAGAAGTGGAGAGGTGGTTCGTGTATGACATGGTGTTGTGGTATGAAAGAAAACTGTACAGGACTGGCTTATGTTTGTCCTTCACGACTCTGATTGGGGTCCTAGAGATGATTCAACACAGTGGCTAGAGATGTTCTCAGATAAGGCTCAGAATAGAAGCCAGTGGCGATCCTGCTGTAACCTTTTACTTTCTTCATAAAAATGAACGTAATGTCTTCAACTGGGGGAATTCTTTCTCGTTGTACTTTTGCTACCTGAACTGCCTCTCCCATTATTATCACTATTTCAATCGCATAAAATGATTTCTGTTCGTTATTGTTCCCCTTTTCCTTATACATACTTTACATTCTTTATCTCTTCAGATTGTAATTGCTATTGTTTATCGCATATGCATTTGGCGCCTCCTTGTACCAATGTCTATGTATTCAAATAAATAAATAATAATCGATTTAGTTGAAGTAAATATGAGAATTAATAACAGGCTGTGTTACTTTAGTCGTGCTCGTCAATGTAGAATTATGGTCTAGTTCCGTATTAGTGCGTTTATCTACCTGAATGGAAGCCGGTTAAAAGTGGTGTGCCTTAAGGTATCATCTTAGGTCACCTATTTTCCCTCTGTGTCAATGAATTCCCGGGACTGCTTAAGTCGGCATTTATTATTCTCTGTAGATGATATCAAGATCCGGAGAACAATAAGTACTGATGTTGATCATCTTGGCCTCCAAGCCGACCTAGACGACTAAGCTAAATGGTTCCAAAGTCGAGACTCAGAAATCATTTCTAGAAAGAGTGTGCTCATGCATATCGAACAGATTAGTAGTTACCGGTATATTGTCAACGGTAGATTGTTTATATGTGCGGGATTACAAAGAATTAATTATGACAATAAGTCATGAATTAAAAACAACAATGCATCGCAATACAGTAGCTGCCAAGGGTTTTCGGGCGTTATGGTCACTTCACCGAGCATTCATATGCTTTGACGAAGAGTTGTTTCGGGTTTTATAATCCACCTATGTAAGACCACACCTATAGTTCGGTGTCTAAGGTACTGATCCAAGTCATCTTACTGTTACTGACAAACATGAGAGTTCTCAATGTGCGGGAGCAAAGTTAGTGAAGAGTGGTTCCCAAATCTTTTACGATGGGCGCTCAAAACACATGAACCTTTTCCCTTATCGTACCACAGAATGTGAGGTGACTTTATATCGGCATCCTGTATCTTTAATAACGAATTGAATGTTAATAAATCGCATCTTTTTGCGCCCTCCAGAGCTAATGCTCTCCAAGGCCATAGCAAGAAAGTCCAAATACCACAATCTGATAAGCTCAGTGTGGGTTTCTGTCTTTTGACCGAGTAGTCAATGTCTGGAACTCCTTATTCGAAGGACTTGTATCAGCCCCATCAATAAATATTTTTGAGCATAAGCTATTACTTTGCGGGAAAAAAGCTGAATGCATTAACATAGGTCGATCGACTAACTATCCTTCTGATTGAGTCGGATTTGTGTTTTCTCGCGGGTGTTTCTAAGATTCGCGTTATAGTAACTTGAGCATGCCGGTTAGCAATGTGGAAGTGCCTTCTCTGTGAGTATCTAAGTTTCTGTACATGAGTTTAACTTTAGTCTATCTTCAGGAACTTATTTTTCGTTTTATAAGTAATCAAATATATATTGTGTTATCCAGATTAAGTTCAGATTCAGATGCGCGTAAATAGATTAGAAGGCCTACGACCTGTCTTTTCTTTTCTAGTAAGCTTCTATGAACGTTTAGTCTTCTCCTGAAAAAGTCAATTGGATGTGAGGTCACCACTGCTTCGGGTAATAAGTTCCAGGAATTGATGATATGAAAACCTTAATGCCTCGGGTATTTTGTTCGTCCCTGGTTTTTCTACTCTCCTACTATGCCCTCTAAGATATCCTGATCTGGTAGAAAAAAAAGAGCGGATGTGTTACGTCCAAAATCATTTTTATTGCTCTTTACGTCAAAACCAGACCACCTCTTCATCTGCGGTAGTATATAGTAAAGTGGTCTAGATTCTCAAGCCGTTCATTGTATTGTAAGCCCAAGAGTTCATGGATTGCACGGGCAGCCACCCTCTGCACTTTTCCCAGGATATCCGAGTCACATTTTAGACAGGAGCTTGCAGTCTGAACGTAGTTTTCAAGTTTGGATCTCACTAAGGTTGTGTATACGGTAGAGAATATACTGGTGTCCAACTTGGTGAATGTCTGTCTTAAAACTTTTAGAGTTCTAGATCCCCTAGCTGCGACCTCGGGGTAGTGGGTCGTGGTCTTAAGGTCACGGCTCACTGCCATCCTGGGATTCTTGTGAGACTGGACTACGGGCACTGGTTCTTCCCCTATGCCGTATCTACTTACCTTTGTATCCCGAAGGTGCATGAAGACACCTGCTTCAGTCTGGGCACCTGGGCATTATCACAGCCCACACACAATCAAGTGACTTGCGTGATGCGTATGTATTCGGTGCCCCTTTGTACTAATATTTGTGTCCAAATAAATAGATAATAAATATGTAGACACTTGGCGGCGTCGATAAGCATCAGGTATTTTTTAGATCAACTGGCCGGAACATCTTATTCCGCCCGAAATGCACATGGGTTTGCATCTCCTGTTATTTCTCTCCAGAGTTTTACATCGTCAGCGTATAGTAGCATTGGGGACTCAACTATACTTGGGACTTCATTTACATGCAGTATTAAAAGCTGAGAAGCTGGTGCGGAGCCTTTCGTGACACGTCAAGTAGTGTAAACCAGGTCTGGATACATCTTGATTCTATATAACTTCGTCATTCAGATTCTCTTGGAGATCTCGCTTGTGTCTTCTGAGATTTTGGGGTTTGATCTTCCAGATGGTCCACTCATTAACGTAGAATAAGCGTATGAATAGTCCTGTTTGATGAAGATACTGATCACATTGAATAACGATACTGACGTGTTTGGGATGGATTTCTTTTTGAAAACACGATATGACTTCGCGTTTGATCTATGTTAAGTCCGAAACTAATGATAAGGAGTGAAGTAATTCAGTGTGTCGACCGCCTCACTAGTCGTGGGAGTTCCATCAGTGAGTTAGTGCCTGGCAAAATCTCAGTATGGAATCCATAATTCTGAACAGGTTTTACCAACATTTCATTTAGGTAGTCGAGCTGCACTTCAATTATTCTAAGGACAGACATATTGTTCAGCAGTTCATTCTATCATACTTTATGACTGTAAAATGTGACCTTCAAAACCAGAGAATATTGTTAGATTGCCAGTATTTAATCATAGATACCTTCAAAGCATTGCACGCATATGTTTGGACCATCAAGTTAGCAACATCGTGGTTATTCACCGGTTACTTGACACCACCGCATATCTCGACGAGTAATGCTTAGTAATTCAGAAGTAGGTTTAAAGAAAACTAGGGGGATCAAATTAGAACGTGGCATCAATTCATGAAGTTATTGACTGTTGAACTGGGCTATGTTGTTATTTGTAGACTGCATATTAAATCTTTATGATTATCGTAGCCAATGGTTGAAGACAGTTGATATGGCTTTTAGAAGATCGTATTGGTGAAGTTTTATTCACTTTGTTTTCTCGATATTTTGAGTTTTAAGATTATCTCCGAAACAGGTGCATTGCATAAAACGAGCTGGTTGATTTTCAAATAAGACGATGTGCTGTGAAAAATGTAAATGACCACAATCTCTAAATTGTCGTCAGACGATTAATTGACTCTTTTTATCATTACGAAGATCTGAGGTGACCTGATTGAAATCTTCAAATAACTGACCGGTGAATTTAGAGTTGAAATGCTCTCACTTTGCTCGCCTTCTAAAACAGAAAGTTTACAAAGTCATACGAAGATGTTCACAGTCTTTAAGTCAGTAATTTGTCAACTGATTACCTACTTTTTAATCATATAAAGTTTTCTGCCTCAAAACATGATAACTTTCTCTGTTGGTGTATTCAATGGGTTGATTCAAATAAAAGTCTCATCACTAGATGCATGAGATGGTTTCTAGCATCTGGTTCTATCCGGTTGACTTAAGGTATTCTTTAGAAAGTTAGGGCTTGTTAAGCCAAATAAGGCAACTCTCAAAATACTTCTGGAATGAGCTCATGGCTATCAAAAGGTTCTTTGGAATTTGGCGGCTGACCTTAAGCCTTTTTTACGTAATTTATTGAGGCGATTACCAATCAAGTTTTTTCCAGTTAAAAGGATGGGAGCTGTTAAATTGCATCAAATTTCACTTGCATAAATTTCTATGAGTATTCAATTCCAGGTATTTGAGGGTGAAAGCTCGTTATTGTATTTCCAGATTCATAGTTTTGGTGTTTCAATAGGAGGATAGAAAAGGTTGCATCATGAAGTGATACGAGACGAAATATAAAGTGAGACTGCGTAATAATGAGGGGTCAGAGAAGAATAGGAAAGTGAAAATAATCCATCGGTCAGAATTATGAAAGATAATATTGATATTTAGAGTCTCGCATCAATTCATGATGCAATCTTTTCTATCCTTTATAGACATATTTACTTTACAACTATACGAATGTACAACTTGAGTAAGTGGCTTCGTCGAAAAGATTTTCGCTAAATTTTTATTTCTATTTAATGACAGTGGGTTATTTTAATTATGGTATTTGTTTGTCAATTTCATCGTTAACTGATTTATATGTGTTAGAATCATTCATTGAGCCACACTAACGATTTTTGATGAAAAGAATAGAGGTATCTTAGAAAGTTTGCATTTGCATATTTAATTTTGGGTAAGCAAAAGGTTTCAGGAAGTTTGCGGATTTTTCCAATCTTGTTTAGGGAGTCTTATTTTGTATAATTGCAAGATGGGTGTTAAATATGAGTGCCATATTATGTTGTGTACGCATTCTTCCAAAACTCAATATATTTCGGTTTATAGCGCTACTCAGTGTAACCCCCTTTCCTGGTGCCTCACTGTTGATTTTTGTTTTTCGTACATGAAATATATGAATGCCAACTTCATTTATAACAAATAGACAAGTATTTCGAGTTGAACTTTAAAAATCAGTGTAGTTCAGCAACATGGAAACTTTACTTTTGGGTCACATTGGGTTCGAGAATTAGCAGTACTACGGTTTTATCCAAATCGTAGACAGAACGACTATTACTTAACTCAAGCCCATGAGCTTACCTTAATTACATCTCAATTTCTTTTTACTTTGAATCACACGTCATGAAAAAGCACTTCTTAAAAAACACAATTTGAGTTGGTATTATTCTCGTCGATCTGCTGGCGAGATAAATCCCAAGAGGCACCTAATTGGATATAGTCTTACACAGATTGTTGTAAGTACCTTCTTTTTATTTTATTCCGTAGACTTCACGGCATTTAGACCTTACTATCGGTTTTGGAAATCAATGAAATATGTTGTGACATACAACACACCTACCTTAATCCATTCTTCTGTCTGCGGTAAGGCAGCATACCCCAGGATAGTTATCAGTACTACTGTCCACCCCCCAGAACCTAAATTTTAATTTTTTTTCTGTTTCCATAATTACCTATATGGCATGATGAAATCTCAAGTAACAATTATTTTAGCTAGTATAATTATTAGACTAACTATTGATGGTTTGAATTAGCTGTTCAAAATAACGAGAGTGGTGGATTACACAAGATATATTGTAACCAGTTTTTCACCTAAGGCATATTTTGCATTATTCCTAATAATTCTTTCTTTAAAACTGAATGGATATGTTGGGTAGCTGTGATTATTTTCAAATTCACACAGGTGTCAACTTATGTTTATCTAGAGCTATCTTCCATCATCGTCACCTCCAATTTAATTCGTGAGTTGCTTCATCCGTAACTCAATGGATAAGCTGTAACAGATCATGTTTAAACGTATTATTGTCCACTACTTTCAATTAACATTTCTGAATTCCGATTATGTTATGGGAATCTTGTATTTTGTAGGCCAACAAAAGTGTCCTGAAGTGATTCAACCAACCTAATGTCACGTAATAGAAGTAAATTCAAAATCAGTCGTTGAACAGTGTAGAATTTATGATCATAGCATTTGCTTGCAGAATACTGTAAGAATTTTACACACAGTCAATCGGAACTTATAGCAAATTTCGGATTATAAGCAAATAGCTTTTTTTAATAGTATGAAGCTTGTTTGTCCGCTTCGTTCGGTTGATGAGTAAACTGATGTTCAACGATCTTGTTCTCACATTATTTTCACACAAAAAATGCAAGATCTGGCGAACACATTCAGTCAGTCAGCTACAGTGTAGGACCAGGCACATATATGCATCAGCCCAAGTTGCCAGAACTCATTAGCATAACAAAGTAAACATCAAATTCATAGGAGTAGTTACTTCGATGGTAGTAATACGTGGAAGAAAGATTGTGTATAAAGATATACATAAAGGAAGAGCTTGTTCGTAAAAACAAAAATATAAAGCGGAAGGGAAGACAAAGAGTGTATACACCGACGCCACTGATCGATTCTGAACCATATCACCCAGTATTTCCAACCATTAATTACAACAGTCACGTGAACCTCAACTAAGTAGTCTGCATTTACCAACATAGCTCAAACCAGAAGTTAGTGACTTCGATGACTGATGCCACGTTTTAGTTTGGCCGCCCCTAACTTCTAACCACCTCCAACACTTGTCAACATTTCGTGTCGTGGTAATCGGTGTTCAGGCATACGTAACACGTTGCCTAACCATCTCAATCGATGAATATTCACAAGCTCATCAACTGATTTACCATCATTCCCTAATACCCTGTATCTAACCTCATTATTGCTTACCCGGTGATGCCAGCAGATGCTGGCAATATTTCTGTGATCAAATAGTAGATTTTCTGTTTCACCTCAGTCATCATTAGGGACAGTATTGACTTTAACTAGTCAACTAATCAAATTATTTTTTCAGAAATTCCTGAAGCTTTGGAAGGCGGTTGGACCAACCCAATGCACCAGTAACCTCTATCGTTGTCTCATGTTCTCCTTGATCTGTGAATCCAAAACGCCTGGTGAAATGGTCGTTTTGTAGCAATGTTGAAAGCACTAAAGCTCTATACCCGATTTTGATGGTCGAACGAACACTGATAGCAATAGTGATATGAAACATAATAATGATGTTATATGCAGTTGGTTCCTGTCTATTAAACATCTTTGCCGAATATTTTCGTTTTACTATGAATAGTAAGCTGTGGTACAAGCTTTTGTCTGTCTTGCGAATACGAATCAAACTCGGATAATACGAAGCCCACATTTTTTATTTACAGACTTCATTTACCAATTACTTAATCAAATGCTTTTGATGTAAGAGGATCTTGGTTCAAATATTTCCGAGACTCATGTACTTTTCTTATTTTTATAGACAGCCAGTGCGTGATCCTGTACTGTTTCCCTTGGGATTAAAAGAAGAGGCAAAAATGTTACTAGGTTCCGAAGACATTACAATACACGCAAAGGATTTACGGAAGTTAGCTCATCTAGGTGACTCTTGTGCCCTTGTTTCTACTATTTTGATTTATGATTAATTCCATATTTTCTAATTATATGTATTTTTCGTGCGATCGAATGTCATTTATAGCTACAATTACGTTATCTGAATCTGAAAGCAACATATCGAGGGGGCATTTCCATTCTTCAGTTTCGGGTGGTTTTAAAACTCAACATTGTCACGTAAACTTAAAGTATCACAAACTGAAATAATGGTCATGTTTACATTCATGTAGTATTAACAGCTGGAAATAAATTCCACGTTTTTGAGTCATTCAAGTGTGTCGCTGTCAGTAATTACGGTTATGTTTTAGTTTATTTAGTCACTGAATTGTAGATATTTCGAAATAAATTCTATTATAGAATTACTTGGAAGCACGTCCACTATGTTGTGACTTTTCTTCCGTCTCAACTGACTGCCGTACACTTGACACTAGCATAATAGAGTAGTATCTTCATCGTAGAAAACTTTACATATTTCATATAAGCCAGCAAAACCAACAAGTAACAAAATACGCCTTACATCATGAATTACGACAATGAAAACAATAATTCTTGCTCCATTTTACTTGATCTCCTAGTGCAGGACTAAATTTGTGAAAGTGGAGTTTATTGCCACTCATTTTCTAATGGTTTTTCACATGATCATATTTGTTTTGGATATAGATTTGAATCAGGTTCCAACTTAAGTTTAGATTTTGGAATTGTTCAGATGTGTTACGTTTGATTTCTTTGTTGTATTAATCGGAGGACATGTTTGGTTTTCGACCTTGATTTGTCATCTAAAACTACTTGGTATAATTAGTACGTTTATTTATCTATTTATTTGGACACATAAATATTGGTACAAGAGGGCACCAAATATGTATGCGCCACACAAAACAATGAGAATTCGAAGAGAAATAGAAAGAACAATAACGAACAGATTAGTGTAAGGTAGTGTAGTAATAATAATAATGGAGGAAACGGAAAGGTACAATCAGAAGTGATCTTTCAGGTAAGGGAGACACAACCACTTTTTATGAAGAAAGTAAAAGAAGGTTACAGCAGGATCGCCACTGGCTTCTATTCTGAGCCCTATCTGATGACGTCTCTAGCCACTGTGTAGCACCATCTCTCGGACCCCAACCAGGGAGTCGTGAAGGACCAACACAAGCCAGTCCTTTGCAGCTTTCTTTCATGCCACGACACCATGTCATACACTGACCACCTCTCCACGTCTTGCAACCAATCCCAGAGTCGGCAAATAATGCACGACCTGGAATTCTCTGGGACGACATTCGTAGAACATGTCCAAGTCACCGATGTCGATGTTTCAAGATGATGGCATCAATTAAACTATCGTCTCTGCATCCGAACACACGATGCCGAACCTCTGCATTACTGACATGGTGTTGCCACTGGATGCCAGCGATCCTTCGGAGACAACGATGATCGAACACAAAGAGTCGTCTAACGTCCTCAACTCGGAGAGGCCAGGTTTCACAAGCATAGAGCAAGACTGCTCTCACCGACGCGTTGTAGATCCGACCTTTTACAGCCAGACTAACATCACGAAGGCGTCAAAGATGGCCCAGATTGGCATAAATCGCTCTGGCTTCCACCATACGTGGATTGATCTCATCACTCACACCACCACCACCAGCACTTATGCAGCTACCTAGATACATGAACTTCTCGACTACTCCTATCTGATCACCATCCAGGGTGAGTACAGGATTAGAATCCTGCCAGTCTTGTAGAAGTACTTTGCACTTCGAAGGTGCAAAGCACATACCATACCTACGGACACTAATTCCCAACTGATTAAGTGCGAATTGCATGCCTTGGGCATTATCGCACAGTAAGACAATATCATCCGCATACCCAAGGTCGAGAAGTCTTTCTCCAGGCAACAGATCCACACTACCATTACTTATATCCATCAGAGCTGTTTCCAGAATGTCATCGATGGCAAAGTTGAAGAGGAATGGTGAGATTGGGCAAACCTGCCTAACCCCACTGCTCAAATGGAACAATGGATAGAGGTGGTTGTATGCCCTCGCTCTGCCTGAGGTGTTTGTATATAGGGCTTTTAGGATGTCAATAAACTTCTCAGGCACACCCTTCTTCAACAGACAATCCCAGAGAACAGTCCTGTCCGATGAGTCGAAGGCAGCCCTGATGTCAAGAAACACTACGATTGTTGGCCTTTGATAATTATGACGGTGTTCTAGCATTTGGCGGAGGGTGAAGATATGACCAATACATCCTCAACCAGAACGAAAACTAGCCTGCTCCTCGCGAGTCAATCTTTCTCGGGTTTTGAACAACCTACGAAGTGTGACGGAAGCCAATAGCTTGGACGCAATCGGAAGTAGACGTATCCCCCGATAGTTGTTACAGGAACGACGTGAACCCTTTTCAAAGATAGGGACAACTATCGACTCATTCCATAATGTTGGTACACTCTCTAGTTTCCAGACCTTTGTAAACAACGTCGTCAATTCCTTAGTCAGAAAGTCACCAACATCTTTAAAAAGGGCCGGAGGTAAGTCATGTGAGCCAGGTGATTTGTAACGTTTCAAGAGTTGGAGTTCCTTGCGAACTTCCGCCTCATTTGGTGGATCAGTCGTCACCGACCATGGAGGGCAGGACAGTCTGACCGATGTTGCCGGAGCAGCAGGCCAGTTGAACTGCCCTTCAAAGAATTCTGCCCATCGTTCAAGACGTCAATGGATGTTAGTGATTGGCATCTCATCATCCTCGCAGATTGTTTCGCTCACACCAGACTTCTTGCTGCCAGTGGACCCCCATTAGCATGAGTATTTCCGACCTTTTAAGATTTTGATATTTTCTTACTCTTAAAATGTCCGTACGGTGCATATTAATTATTGTGACATAATGTTTTCGCATGAAATCATAGGTCAAGACGGTCTCTTGAAATTCATTTGTATCTTTTCTGTTCTTAAGGTGAGCGTATGCGGTATAATATTTTGTCCACATGAGCTCTAGGTTCCTGAGGGAATAAATGGCGTGTGAACCAATTTTTGGTCACCAGCTACCATGGGATTGCATCTCCTGACCCTGTTTCATTGACTTGTGGATCACACCTTTAGATCAAAGGCTACGGGTGTGGCCTCGTGAGAAAACAACCTGCTTCGGTTTGGGCACCCAGGCAGTATCGCAGATCACTCGCAATTCAAGTGACTTGTGTGACGCATATGTACTCGGTGCCCCTTTTTACCAATATTTATGTGTTCAAATAAATCTAGGGTTAAGTTTTGTAAATCTTGTCTTGTTGATTGCCCTGCAACCGGTTTCTGTAAACGTCCTCATAGTAGCACAAAGTTTAATTCTTCCTATTATCAACTTATTTTACTTTACCAACATACTTGCCACTTAGCTCATCGGGTTTGTTTTTCTTTCCTAACGGTTAGGAGTTAAGGATTTCTGAATCAGTCACTGAATTTTAATAATGTTTTTGCCTGTCTTCTAAAATTCACACTTTACTATCATTTAGTATGTTTTTCTAGGTTATATATTCGTATGATCCCAACTATTGATCATACCATGTATACTGCTTGAAGTCGTAGTGTTAAACTAATGTAAAAATAGACCAGTTTACTCTATTCACTATTTCAGCAAATAAAATTCACCATACAACTTAATAGAATTTCAACACTTCTTTATTTTGATTCGGGATGAGCCTTTCTGTAACTTATGTTTCACTTTCTTAACATATGTATTTCGGCTATGTTGAAGGAGTTCTGTTGCGTGAAAGCCGATGTCAACGCACTGCTGATGAGCTATTAGTCAAAAATCATGATTCGATTTATTTACTGAATATTCAAGTATTCATATCAACTTGGGAAGTGGCGTATGACACATTCTGGTTAAATCACTGCTACTGCAAAAATTTATTTCCTTTAACTCAGTTAATTGTGAATGCAGTTCTTTTATCTTAAGGATGTTATCCAATATATATTGAATTCACTAGTCTGTTAAAACATCGGTTTTACATAATTTCATTACTCTACGTGTAATTCATCCGACAGATGATGATACACGATTATTTGTCCCGCACTGTTGTTGAATAAACCTAATATGTTTTTTCAGTCAGTCAGTCAGTAACAACGTAGAACTTCGTACGTACGTACATCAGTTCGAGTTGCCACACCACATTAGCACAGAGATGCAGTGATCGATTCAAATCCTGTAGTGCTAGATGTAATAAAATTATAAGCTGTAATCAGAAAAATTAGAGTTTGAAGATATTATTCAAGGAGTATAATCCAGTGAAATAAATTTGGAAAGAGAAAAGGGAAAAGGACATGAAGAATTCAGAAGATTAGAATTTGGGAGAACACAAAGAGTGTATACACCTGCGCCATTGCAAACGATTTTGAGCCATGTCATTCAGGGTCTCTAACCATCAGTTGTTATCATCTCGCGGTCCCCAACCAGATAGTCTACACCTACCGACATGGCTCAGACCACTTGTCAGTGACTTCATGGACTTGTGCCATGTTTTGGTCTGGCCACCCCTAACTTTCTTTCAATCTACTCCTATACAACAAAACATTGCACATAGAGGCAGTCGGTGGTTCGGCATACGTAACACATGTCCCAGCCATCTCAACTGATGAGTTTATGTATCAAAATTCAAAATGTTACCAAATCCAGATATAGTTATTGATATGGCTTAACAATAATTGTATTCTCAGCGGGTAATTTATGTTAATTATTGGGAGTACTCGATGATTGTCTCCTGTATTCATTCTTCATGAATTTGCTTGAGTTTTCAGTAGCCATTTAACCTCTATTCTTCAGGATCTGGGTATTATGGAAGAGTAGAAAAAATGATCCATTCACCCACGTCACACGTTTTTGCTGTCAAACACATTTCCGTCCATCTGAATTACCTCTCAAGACCTCTTATTTCTCGAGAATTGGCTGTTGGTACACGCTGTAATCACCGATCTGTGGTTACTTGTTACTGTGGTCTGTTTTGTGAAGGTGATGTTCTTATTGTTATGGAGTTAATGGATACATCTTTGGACAAATTACTAAAGAAAGTGAGTTGTTTCCAGATGGGTGTAACATTTTGTATAACTTTGTTATATCACTTTACATTATTACTAAATTAAGACACATTTCAGGTTTCGAATTTCCTGTTTGTTTTCATTCGAATTCACTTCTTGTGTACACCATACATCGTATTACTAATATTTAAATTCTAAGCACTTTAGGAAGTTTCTCCAACAATTTGAGAGCGTTTTAGTACCAGTTTGCAAGCTGCGTTTATGGTGTGGACATACATAAGTAGTGCGTAGCAGGAATTGGAAGTGGAATGCGTACCAGAAGATTGAAATTAAGTGAAGGAAAACAAGACAGTTGGAATAACAACAGGATTTGAAGAATAATGAAGGAAGTAAAGGGCAACTCAAGGAAGATACGCAAATGATGTTTTCAATGTATGATTACCCTATTTTACAAAGGAACTGTTTGATTTTGCATAAAACAATAAATTGGTTTACCGTACCTACGTATTCGTAATAGGAAATCGGCCTCATTCAACTGAAAAATCACATCAGACTGTCGATGAGTGATGAAATAAAAGTATGTGTAAAAGTTTACTACATGCGTCCATCTAATGTTAATTTCCTATTCAGACTATGGTAGGATTGGGCTAAAAATAGATTATGGGTGGTCTAATCAAAACATAATGTCAATTTATCAAGGCGATTGACTTCTTTCATGAACCATGTAAGCAGTTGCTGACTTCCTGACTAAAGCTTTACAGACAACCAAACTAGTAATAGACTTCGAGGTATATATCTCAATATGTGTTGTTTTGATACACATACATGCGCACTTTACTTTCTCCAAGTACATGTTGTTTGTCTCTAGTTCTTTGCCACTGACAGCATGATTGTTTTCGTCCCTTTTCTTTTCTCGTTTTATAAATTTCCTATCACACTAGTTATGTGATGTATGGTAGCTTGGATAGGTATATTCTAAAATTTTAGTATAATTTTTTCTGTCTGTTATTTTAAGATCATCAGTTAGTGCAGTTTATCAAGTATTCATTGATTTGTGTACAAAGCATGAGTTTTACACTAATGGTTTATCGACCAACTCAAATAAAAATGGAGTTCACGTCTTGCAGTTCATTATTAAAACTTTAAAGTCAAGATCCTATTGTGTTATCTTTAATAAATATATTGTTTGGGAAGCTTATTTTTGAATCTTTATGAAGTATCAGCGATTGTTGGTAGGAGTAAGACCAAGATAATTTACTTTCACAAAAGTTACCTTTCAATGTGTATTCACTTAATGTTGCTAGATTACAGGAATACGCCACTTCTTTTGGTCGAAGTGAGTTTGTCAAACAAGAATGATAAGGTATTTTAACATTCGTTTCTTCATTGGTGAAATAGATAAAGTACGGCATTTTTATATTTTTTAAATATTTATCACTACATGCTATAATGTTGGGTTATAAGTAGATGTATTCACTTTCCGTTTCCATGATTACTCTTCATAGGTTTACAACCGTGGTCGTACTTTTCCTACTGACGTCCTAGCGTACATTGTATTATCGGTTGTTGAGGCTCTTGAATATCTACATCAACTTGAGGTTATACATCGTGATGTAAAACCTTCAAACATGCTTGCAGATTGTCAAGGCCGAGTAAAGGTAAGACAAAAAGTTGGAAAAACTTGTATTAGCTATTATCCTTAATTATGTATTGTATTTTCTTATTAAATAAATTAATTGTTTGTGATACGGGAATATTTTCAACCTGAAGTTCGATTACTGCATAACTTTTTAACTCTTTTTGTTTCCGTTTTATGAATAAGGTTTGTGATTTTGGAATATCAGCCGATTTAGAAAATTCAATCGCACTAACCAACATAGGGACAAGAGCTTATTTAGCTCCAGAGCGAATTAATACACGAGAGAATGAAGGGTTTTGTATTCGTTCAGATGTATGGTCACTTGGTTTGAGTGTACTTGAATTAGCAACTGGAAAACCTTGCTATCCTCAATCGCAAAATGTATTTCAGCAATTGGTCCAGGTAATTACGTTTTTTAATGTCTCTATAATCCTGTAGTCATCCTTTACTCAAATTACGTCATATCATATCCACTAGTGCAAAACTCAACAGTCCAATCTTATCTAACGTTCATAGATCTTTGTTTATCGTTCAGAATACATTCCATTTGTATTTGGAAGTTTATTTTATTACGAATAATTACATTCGTAGAATAATCCCTATCCCGCCTATTATTCAACGTGATGGCGATTCGGGGCTTTTTAATTAGGCATTTCATCTGGACATGTATATTACTAACCAATCGCCAATTATTTCAGTGGTTTACTAGTTAGTAATAAAACTTAAAACTTTGGCAGAAACTTTTTCTTCAGTTGCTTATTTCATGCAGTTCATTGTGATAAAATACTTGGAAATCTAAACACTACCATATTAGTGTGATAACCAAAGGCGTTAACAGCTTTCCAACTTATTGTAAGCTATCACATTCAGGTTGTATTATTTTAAACTATGATGATGATCTTCATATTCTTTTACCTGACGAATCATGTGACTTCTAAATACAAGTTTGTGGGACCTAGCGCGAATGTAATCCGGCCGAAGTAGCTTGAAAGACATAAATGATCCAATTCATATAACCTTATCCCATTCATCTTCGGCATTCTTGTCAAAGTTAGGTGGTACGTAACCTACAACAATTATTTGATTGTTGTTTGGACATCTTAACAAAGTTTTTTTGATGACATTTTTATCCGCCACTAAATAAGTGAATTAGTCAACTTATTCAACCATTTCATTTTAGCTATTCAAGTGTGCCGTCGTAAACGCACCCTACAACATCATCTCACAATTGAGATGTGAATCGTCCTCAGTTTCTCCTTAATTGTGTTCAGATGTTCTTGTTTGTTGTCAAATATTTTAATAAGTGCCACTTTACGATCCACATCTAGACTAAATGATCTAAAAAACTCCTATTGATCTGTGACATTTTCAAAGTCCACGAAAAAAATATTAGGGACTTTTTTGTTCACATAATAGTCAAATAACAACAAAATAAACTAGTAGAATGTATGGTTGTTTTGATTAAAAGATGATAGGTTATTTTATAAGTTTTCACTTAAAATTTCAGTAGTATAGACACAAGTGCATGACTTATCGTTTACGATATATAAAAATATATTTGATCGCCAATCCAATGAAAGCTTCACTGCGTTCTTATCAGTAGGATCTAAAAACGATTCTCACAATATTATATCATACCAGAGTAAGCACTAAGATGTATAACGTATCTTGAAAATCGTGATTGGCTTAAACAATTCTGTAAGTTGGATTTATAAAAGATTATTTGAAATATCAAAAACTAAATCAATAAGTTATTTCTGTGTATATTCATTTAAACTTGTCAATCATATGATTACTAAAAAAAAACTATAATCTGATTGATGTGGTTCTACTTTAAGGTTGTTCACGAACCATCACCACGATTGCCAGAATCAAGTTGTTATCCAAATTCACTACGTAAATTTATTGATTCATGTCTTATGAAGAACAAGGATGATAGACCGAATTATGTTCAACTACTGGAGTCAGAATTCTTATCAACTGTTGACGCTAAAAGTGGTCAAGAATCATTTAGACTATTTTTAGCAGATTATCTTGATGATAATGAAAAATGTTGATAATTCATTATAATATCCGTTGTTATTATTGATAATGATGTTAACTTACTTAAAAAGTAAGTACATGTATAAATTTTCGCAATCACATCATTAACATTAGGTTATATGTAGTAGGAATTACTTTTTCTCTGCCTGCTTTCATTAACAAAAGTTGTTTACTAACCTATATGTGATACATTCCGGTTTTTTTAATTTCCAAATTTTAAGAGATTTCTTTGCTCCTTATTTGTCTATCAGTGATGATTACAAACTAATCTTTTGGCCAGCCTTGTTGTTATTGCTTTTATCTTGCCAGCATATATATATATATAATTCTCATATATGTATATAATTTCTTCTGTCACTGTTCTCGTTTAACATTATAATATCAATGGTAATTACATTTAACATGTGGTTTTGTCGTTTTATTTTACCTTTAATTTTGTCTTCCTAATTTCGGCTGTCCTTATAAATAATTGTTTCGATCACTACTAGTCAGAAATAACAAACAGATGAAGAAGACTTTTTTATATAGCCATTTTCACTGTAGTGGGATTTCATTAAATTTATTTTATTAAAGTGATTTACGTTTTTCTATTAACGAAATATTAGTCATGACCATTGAATGTAATTATTCCCGTTAATACACTGTTAGTTACAATTTTTTTACAATAATAGTGTTTGTTAAATTCATTAAGAAGCTTTGTTCGTTATATTATTATTATTACACAGCTAGTAAATAGAGAGCTAAGTTGTATGATGTTGAAATAGAAATTCGCTTCATTTTAATTCTGCCCATAAATTTAAGGTGACATATCAATCACTTGCTATCGTCCACCACAAATACTAAGTTATCATTGAACCCCATATTTACCAACAATTATATATTAGATTGCAATGTAATAACATAATGCGATATCGAGGCTATCCGCACTGGATGTCAGTAAGAGGCTGATCAATTTATTTATTTGAACGCATAAACATTGGTCCAAGAGGGCACTACATACATATACACTACACATTAACAATGAGACTAGTAGCGGTCATCATTGGTTTGTGTGAGGGTTGTGACACTGTCCGGGTGTCTAAACTGAAGTTGGTTTTCTTAGGGGTCTCACTCCGAGCATTTGACCTAGAGGTATATTTTACAACTCAGTGAAGCACCATTAGGAGATGCAGCCCTATGATAGCTGGTGACCAACAATAGGTTCATATGCCCATGTACGCCATTGGTTCGGAGTCAGGGTTATTCAACTCTACTTGTTGGGTCCTCCATTTCCACCACCCTGGTTAGAGCGCCGGACATTCTCTTTTCGTCCTCTCAGTTTCGTAAACAACACCACCACCGCAAAACCGATCAATTCCATTCCTAAGCATCAATGTCAGTATTCAAACAAACAATACACAAAGGAATTAATACTTGAAAACACTAACATTACTCTATTTATAATTTTTTTCACAAATACTTTGATAACAGTTTTTTAATACAAAGGCAAGTACATCCGAAAAATTTATTTGTTGTTGTAACCATTTTTCATATCAATTACCAAATGACCAACTGTTTTTATGTAATGAACTTATAAGATCATCACATTCCACTTCGTTGATTTATTTTTACTAGCTCAGACTGGAATCTATTTTTTTATATTGGCGACTAATTTTTTTTCACGAAATATTGTAGATATTATACATAGGTGTTTCATTATTTCACTGAAAGTTCTGTGATGTGAATATAATAGAAGAGACGACGAATTTTAACGTCTAATATATTTGAGAATATGTATCGTTCATAAATAACAAGTTGGCATACGATCAAATTGTGCAAGTTTACTGTTTCCATTAAGAAATTCTATATATTTCAATGTTTCAGTCTGTACGTATTTGATTCTAATTAAGTAAATCACGAAAATAAGACTAAATTCATTCATCACAAAGTTCTGTTGGTTTTTATTTTCCTCCTAAATAGAAAATGTTTTGCGGTGTAAACATACACGATAATTGTAATCAGTTATTTGAGACTCAACTTATTATGGATGGAATGCAGTTGTATTCATTTCCTTTTGGGTATTGATCTTTACCATTACTTCGTACCTTTCATTTTTTGGTTATCAATGCCAAGATTTTACGCGATAGCTTCAAATAAATTGAACATCAATAAAAAGTTAATTATAAATATATTTTTGTGATATCCCATTGAGTAAAAATACAATTTTATATTGATTAGGAAATCACGAAAACAAGTATTATTTCTATTCCTTATTTTCAAGATGTATCTGTTTGTTCCTTCAGTCAGTCACCCGTAGTGAAGTTTCAAATAAAAGGCATGCATTCTCATCAAAATGTTTAGCGAATTCATTCAAGTTGGTGTTCTGTGTCGTTTTAAGTACTTGAGGATTTAAGCATTCGTTTTTTACAAAATGCTTTCAGTTTCCATCAATATTTATACTTAACTACTTTGCTGCCCTCTAATAAAAATACAGAAAAAAGTTGGCCAAGTGTTCCTAATGCCATCAATTCATTCATTCTTCATACTATTGTGTTCACATACATAGAGGTTCATTTCGGTTGTGTTTTCGTAATAAAACACTGTACGAAAACTAATGTCGATCGACTTGGTTTTGCTTTGGTATCTTCTTTTTGTGAGTGATGAAGATAAAAAAGAAATCTTTTGGCTGATTACACATTTAGTTGTTCGATTATTTTATTAATAAAACTTGAACAGTGGTCTAGGAAATATTTCATCCTAGTTTGTAGAATATCAATGATTCTCAATCTAAATTTCTTCCTAGGTAAGACGTCTGTGGGTTAGCTGTGTATTCCATAGTGTGAGTGACCACTCGTCGGCATATAACAAGACCGATACTGACACAACTGGAGAGTTTCGTAGACATACACTGGTCTTAATTTTGTATACCGAGGGATTCTGAGAAATATTTTTCATAAGATATAACAATTTCTCTCATCGCGTGCCCAAAAACGTTTGTGCCTGAACATTTGACTGTGGACGGTGATGCGGAAGCGAAAATGTTTGAAGGTAGGCCGTTGGCAGAATACTTGGAACTGACCGAAAGCGAACTGCAGACAGTTATCCGACACAGTTGCACTAGGTAATCCAGTGCAGGGAAAGTTTCAGCCTAGTGCTGTAGTGCTTTGGTCGTCGTTGGTGGCATCATAAGACAGATTCCGGACAATTTCGAACGCGGATCAACTGCAAGTAGGCAAATATTTCCATCAACTGGGCCAGCGAAGTAGACATGTATCCTGGACAAGATATACTCAGGCTGTGATCATGAAACCTGCGGTACTTTCGAGTCAAATCTCGCCGCTTGTCGACACTGTGTATTTGCCCACCAAATCTAATATGTGCTTGTCCACAAGAGGCCAATATACATAACTAGGAGCTATGGATTTCATTCGTTTTCACAAGGATGAACAATATGAAACTGCTTCGGCATCTTTAGTCGTAGAGATTTTGACACCACCACCCTCTTTCCAAACATCAAGTATCCGCTCATGATACATAATTAATCCCGATGGTAAAGTTGCTCCACATCACTATCGAAACTACTAGACGGCGCACCGACGCCGATGTGAATCGTCTCCTTAATGATAGGGTCATTCTCCGAAGCAGATTGTATATATGGAGCTGATACTGGTAAAGCGCGAATAGAAGTTGTCAGGTTATAGTTTGCATGTTCCTTTGTCGAAAGCTAAGCGAAAATTAGTGCTTCCACTGCTGTTATTAGTGGATTCTGATTCCTTTTAACGACACTGTCTTAAAGTACAAATTTGTACGAAATACCATGCATCAGTGTGCCGGTATGAAGCCAGAGGGCTAGTTTTTGGCCGTTCGAGTGAGATGGACTAGGAATAGCGGGCGCGGATTTGGCCGTGTTAGGTAGTTGCTAGTGTACATGAACTTCTGATAGATCAGAACCCTGTTATACCGAACCATTTTAATGTCGTATTGAGGACTTTTGACCGTTGTTATCCACTTTCGATTTCATTAGACGAAACTCAAATTTCCAGAGTGAAAATACAAAAATCAGAATCTTACCAAATGATTTCTGGGAATCTAGCATCTCTAAGAATTACATATGTCATTTATATTCCAAATGAAAAAAAACTTTTAGTTGATCTATCACTCTTAATTTAAAATAGGTGTTTTATTCGATATCTCATGACATTTGTATAGCTGTCGACACAGCATTAACCCTCGCCCTCACGTCGAACGTTGTGGTATGGGTTCCATTGACCCACTTCTATATTGATTAGAAAGTAATTTCGAGTACAGAATGTTCCTTATCACGGTAAAAAAAGATGAGTGCGAGATATAGTATCGCAGTATCAGGAGTTTTACAGAAGACTGGATGAATAAAATCTTGGTACGTACTATATGCATTTACCAACAGAATAATAGATTTAATCCCGGAATTGTAGATTTAATGATATAACTGCCTAAGCTACGAGATCTTATGTAAAGGTCATGCCAGTGTCTATACTGACTCTGTCTATCAGCAGTTTGCCGTTTATGACCTCACCAGAACAAATGTTGACTCAAGACAGAATAATATATTGATGCGAATAAAAACGGTAACATAGACTGAACAGCTCCACAAGGCGGACCTATGCAATACAGATCACGTGTTCCCGTGCCCATCATTTATGATTTTCAATTGCTGGATATTGAACGTAAAGTGACTCATTTATCGTATATGCGTTATCAATGGCCGTATAGTTGTCAACCAATACACCTAGAGAACCACTTAATGTCCATTCGTTCATCTTATTTCAGTACTGAACGTTCATATAAAATTATCTCAGCAGCTTTAATCTATGGAATAATCATCCTGGATTTTCTAATAAATGATTCTAAAACACACGCACGACTTTGATCTGATGTTCATCATGTTCGCGCACCCATCCTCTTCAAAATAGAAATAAATCTCTTACAGAGTACAGAGATGTGGAACTAAGTGGGTTACTAGCGAAAGAATGCTTGATAAGAAGAAAGATCACAACATATGTGCAACGACCGGATTGCCAATATTCGGTTTGAACGCAGAACTAAGGAACCAACATTTATTTATTACATCAGGTTACGTTCTTCCATATAGCGTGCAAAGCGTTTTTGAGTTATTCGTATTGTATTATAAGCGGACACACACTCTGTGTTTAATTTAAAAATGGCTCTAACGGTCATCTCTGTGCTATACAGTCAAGCGTTTCTCCATCACAAATTAGCGTGCTAAATAACAGAAGGAATAAATAATACAAAACGGATTGATGTAAATATTCCCAAAGATATGAGACCAGATATCTATCTGCAGGGATTCCGTCAATCTTTCTAAGAACACAGTCAAACGTTAGCAGTCACACACTGAACCACGACGTGATCTTAAGCTTAGTCAAACATGACTTTATTGTCAATAGTCCGGCAACATGTGAAAATATTCGCAAAAAAGCTTGGTCTTTATACAAAAACCTAAGATAAGGAAGATTGAATTACTTAAAATGTGGTTAAAAGAGATGCGAATATAGGTTAAAATACACGACAGGGAGAAGAGATAAATAAATGATAGTACTATCCATGGAAATGCTGTAGAGGGATTTTTTATTGTTTTCCTTTCGTTAAACCGGTGATTATTCTTTCTGAGTCTTGAGTGAATAAGAAGAAGTTTGATATTTGCGTGTAGCACAAAAAAGTACTCCTAGACGCAACCACGTCACAAAAACTCTCATCAAGGTAACACTTGTAAAACAGGGCTTTGGCCAGCGAGAGCACATTTACCGTCTCACGTTTTTTTTAGTAGTTGCTCTCACAGTCGAAGTGACAAAAGCCCTACAATATAAATCACTGAACTTATTGGTTATACTTGGAACATTCGTATTCTCTTGGCACCCAAATTGTCACCTTGATATTTGCACATTGAAATCAACCAACCTCTTGTCTGATGACAAGATTACTGCTGCTATTGATGATCCCTAACGTCCTGAGACATATGCACTTAAACTACAAGACATATCAATCTGAAAATAATTATCAATGTGTTTACGGTTAGTGCAGCCGTGTGGCTGGACTTTTGTACATAGAACATTCTCAAACACATGTAAGTGTACCAAAAATACAAGAAACAAAGAGAAAAATAGATTGATTTTCGTAAGCTCTAGTCAACGTTATTGAATATTGGATAGCGCGACATTGAAATGCGGCGGTGGTTTTCGTTGTTTGTTACAGAGCTTGTTTTAGGTTGTTCATCCTCAGCTATTGCTCATTGTAAGTCGGATTGAGATCTGTTACCTGACAATGTTTTTACGCTTCTCGTTTTTTTCGGTTTTTTTGTTTATTGTCACAATGCCGTTAATTCAACATACACAAACTAATTGTGATTTTAAGTTATTCGCTATTATGTCATGTAGAAGCATCATCACATAAATTTCGTCTATGTCGACGAAAGAGTTAGATTGTGTATAGCTTTATATGTTGATCTCACCTCACTTTGCCGTACTTTGAATGCCATTCCATAATTAATCAATAATGGGGAAATAAAGTCGAAAAGAGGGAAATCAAGAAAACATCTTTTTCAAAGTAATGGTTAATATTGGAGTAACATTACGAAGTCTCCTTTATGCTCGTCATGCGAAAATAATGCTTTTTGTCTCCATGTTTGAGATGTCGTCATATTATCCATATTTCGCTTGATTACAATTTGTTATCCACCTTTGTTTGGCTCCAAATGTCTCGTCTTCATCTCTATAACAAACCACACGACGACTGCAATCAACTTCATTGGAAAATGGCAAAGCGTTAAAGACATTTATTGACAAGACATAACATGTTTTACAAGGATATAAATAACAGATGCTTGCGCAACGAATCCTACGTATTTTAATGTAAGTGCAAAGTACCAATATGTTTTACGAAAATCTACAAAGAAATAACAGGTGTGATGTGGCCTAATTTGTATGTGCGTATGAAATGAAACTGGCTTCCACTACACACTTTATTAATTTACGAGTTTCAAACACAATCAGAAATTTAGTAGATAGAAGGAAAAAGTTGTACTAAAAATTAAGTTAACTATAAAAGCATTTCAATAACAACACCTTCCTTAAAGTGGAATGTTTGTATTCCGAACTAAAACAATCTTCCTGTGAATTCTGAAATTAATTAAACACTAAAATTTGCAATGTCTAACTGCCATAGTTTATTAAACAACTGTC